TTTATCAAAGAGTGATTTATGTGCATTTAAAGAATAATTAATCAACATCAACATCAACGATAAACACGGCGATGATGACAACAAAAACAACATCAATTTGCCATCCACGCAACTACTATCACTATACTACCACTATCACTACTAATGCTGATACTGCTACTACAGCTGCTGCTGCTACTACTAAATATTATCAACATCAACATCATCATCATCTTCATCACCGTCATCTTCATCATCGACGCCATCAAAAAACTGAAGGTTAGAAATAAATGGTCGTCGATAACTCAAACATCCATATCAGTATTCATGACAACCAACCAATCATCCAACCAACCAACCGAACAACCAACCAACCAATCATCCAACCAACCAACCGAACAACCAACCAACCAATCATCCAACCAACCGAACAACTAACCAACCAACCAATCATCCAACCAACCGAACAACCAACCAACCAACCAAACAATCATCCAACCAACCGAACAACCAACCAACCAACCAATCATCCAACCAACCGAACAACCAACCAACCATCAATTAGTAACCATGGCAACAGCAAGCCATTCGTTGCTATGGTTATCTCAAATGAGAATGCGTTACAACATTACGATGACGGCACTTTTTTTTACAACTAGAGAACGCTAACAAAAACGATACTACTACTACTACCACCACTACTACTACTACTACCACTATTACTACTACTACTACTACCACTACTACTACTACTACTACTACTACTACTACTACTACTGCAGCTGTTGGTTATGTTAACAGTCATAGAATGTTGAAACAACTTTTAGACCACTAAAAAACAGTTCTTCTGAATAAAAGATGAAGAAATAGCAAAAATCGCCAAAAATTATGACGAAAAATCACAGAATTCTTACAGGAATATGTAAAAGGAATATATTTTTGTTTTCACAAGGAGACATTAAAGAGATGTAGAAATGTTCAGTTGGAGGGGGCTTGAACGTTGTTGAGATGGCATTTTAAAGTTTAATCTAATCTTTCAACTCCAGATGAAACAAAATAATACCAAACACATGCCTACCTACACGCACTCACACATACACACACACAAACACAAACACACACACTTACACATACATACGTATATATGTTTGACTGTTTTTTAGTGTCATTCATCGTGTTTTGGTTTTAACATACGTATATACGTACATACATGCATACATACATAAATATACATACATACATAGACATACATACATACATAGATGCATAAATAAAGGTAAATACACATACACATTCCTACATACATACAATCTCACACTGACATACACGCACACACAACAAAAACAAGAATAACAATACATTTACATTGCTGAAGTTCTGGTTTGTTTATAATAAAAGAATTTTTTCAATTTTTTCCTGCTCTCTCACTCTCTAAAATTTTGTGAGTTGTTTATTGCTTACAATTGTGTTGTTGTTGTTGATATTGTTGTTGCTGTTTGAACTATTTATGATGTTGTTGTTGCTGCTGTTGTTGTCAACGTTGTTGTTGTTGGCGCTCGCTCATTCATCTCGTCATAGTCGTAGTAGTTGTTAAAGTGCTTCTGTCAACAAATGTCAATCAAGTACATTGCACCATGCATGCATGCATCCGTGTACGTTGCATTGTGAATTGTTTTTTGCATCCTGAAATATACGTAATGCTTGCAAGCAGTGCACTTACAGATGAAGGAAACATGCACACACACATACACACACACAGACACACACATACACACACACAGACACACACATACACACACACGCGCGCAAACACACACACACACAAACACGCAAACACACACACGCAAACACGCAAACACACACACGCAAACACACACACACACAGATACACGAGACGTTGTTGACGCTCCAGCTCTTCCTTAATTAAAATTAAATTCGTGAGAAAAAAGGCATCCAGCAGTAGCCCTACAAAAATATTTTTAATTGAACTCAGATTATCACCTGCCAGACAATTATATGTACCTACGCAGTTATAGTGGATATGAATGAACCGGCGCTTAACGAATTGTGTGTATGATTTGAATGTGTGCACGTGCATGTCTGTGGGTACGCTTGTATGTATGTGTAAGTATGTATGCATGCATGCACGTGTATGTGTGCTGTACATGCATGTACGCACACATACACAGTGTTTGTCCGCAAATGAAATGAAACAAATTAATAAACAAACGAACAGGCAAACAAACGAACGAACAGGCAAACAAACGAACGAACAGACAAAAAAAAGAACAAACTAAACAATAACATTAGAAATATTTCTGAGGAGGCATATTAACAAGGAGGTACTATAAACGTTGAATAACGGCGGCGCTAACAAGTGTTAATGCGGTCCCATGTTATGTTATTGATGTTTACGTTGCGTTATGTTTGCTTTGTTATAATTATATCCAATGCGTATACGTACGCGCGTGGAACTCTCTCTCTCTCTCTCCCCCTCAAGTTACGTGTAAGTGTATCAAAGTGATCAGCCAGATGCCTCGGTGCATTGTTGTGGATGCATTTATGTATGCATGTAAGTCGATACTTTTGTATTTCTTTGCATACATGTATGCGTATGCATGCATAGGTAAGTATTTATGTGTGTATACGTGTGTGTTTGTGTGTGTTTGTGGTGTGGTGTGTGTGTGTGCCAAAATGTTCGTTTAGATGTTGCTTATTTGCATGCAATCGCTCCATAAAGTTATTCCAAGCCACCGCACGACAAAGAAAAAAATTATGCATTTTTCAAATTGAAAATAAGAATAATCATCGTCGTCATCGTCATCTCATAGGTAACATTATGACAATAATATTGAGATGACGACGACGATGATGATGATTCTATCATCATCATCGTCGTCGTCATCATCATCAGCACGGCCAAAGATAGAATTTGAAATGCGAGAGAGGAAGAGGAGAAAAACGCATGAAAGCTATTCAGCAGTGCCCATGTCATCATCGTAGCTGTCCACGACATGCATACTTACATACATACATACATACATACATACATGCATGCATGCATACATACATACATACACACATACATACATACAAACATACATACATATATACTCAGACACACACATACATTAACATGCATTCATACGTACACACACGCACATGCATTCATTCATTCATATACTGATACATTTTCTCTCAGCCTATAATGGCCTTAATTGCATACATAATAACATTATATATATATATATATATAATGTACATGTATATGTGCATGTATATATCTGTGTGCGTGCGTGTGTGAGTGTGGGTACGCGTTTGTGGGCATGTATAATGCCACATCAAATTTTCATTAATATGGAAAAAAATATGTAGGTGGTGGTCTGAATGAAAATATATTTCCACGATGGTGAACATTGATGATGATGATGGTGATGATGATGGTGGTGAAAATGGTGTGATGATGGTGATGATGATGGTGATAATGATGGTGGTGAAAATGGTGTGATGATGGTGATGATAGTGGTGATGATGACGGTGATGATGATGCTGATGATAGTGGTGACGGTGTATGGTGTTTAGCACTAAAAAAGTAGTAGTGATGAAATGATGATGGTGATGGTTATAATGATTTATACGATGGAAAAGAGCAAGTGCTAAAATGGTGATCATAAACATGATGATGGAGATGGTTGTAATGGTTGGAACGTTTCAGTATGATGATGATGATGACGATGATGATGATGATGAAGTGATAACGATGGTGATTAAACTGATGTGATTCTGATGATGTTACTCATCTAATAATGATGATGATGAAGAAGTGATTTTGAACATTAATGATGACGTCATGATGATGTGATGATGATAATGATGGGTGAGTAAAGATGATGATGATGACGAGTAGAATCTAACCATAATAAAGCAAGTTTCGGAGCTCATAAATTGAATTTTCAGAGGAGCAAGGAAATTATGAGCATAAAAAAAATCAATCTATAGAAGGCGCTAGAAAAATAATAAAATCTTCATCGTCATCAACAACAACAACAACAACAACATCAACAACAATGCATTAATTTTTCAATACTAACTACCACTACTAACTAATACTACTAATACATGCTGTGTGTATGTGAGTGTATGTATGCATGCGTGTTTATGTGTTCATGTATGTGTGCGTGTGTATATATATGTGTGTGTATGTGTTCATGTATGTGTGCGTGTGTGTGTGTATGTGTTAGAATGCACAGATATCAGTACAGATGTATTAATACTTCAGTACAATAGCAGCCAACATTAAGAGCATACATTATTTAAACTAAAATGCTGCTACTGTTCATGTCGTTGTTGATGTCAATACGTTGTTGTTGTTTTTGTGTTGTTTTTGTGCTGTTGTTGTCAACGATGTTGATGTATTTGATGACGTTAATTTTGTCGATGATGATGATGATAATGTTGTTGCTGTTGTTCTTCAAGTTGTTGTCGCATTTTTCACTACTAAGCATTTTTAAGGCGGTCTAAAATCATTTGCGCTGTTGTTGTTGTTGTTAGCGTTGTTGTTGTTGTTATGTGCATTCTTGCTATTGTTGTTCTTGTCTTTATTTATGACGTTATAGATTTTTTTTAAAACACAGGTCCCACGACACTGTACGCATACATTGGAAATCAATAAACGCCTCTGATTTCAACTTAAATTAGAAATTTGTTACGTCATCACTGACGTCATAATTCTCATCGTTCTTCTCCGTCTCATCATCATCATCATCATCATCATCATCATCATCATCTTCTCCACCATCATCATCAAAAGCAAAATCAAACTTATGCTCAAGAACCAATAACAACTAATATTACTTCAATATATACTACAACTAAACTACTACTATTACCACAGCTGCTGCTGTTAATACGTCGACTAGTAGTACTACTACTGCTGCTGCTGCTACTACTACCACCACACCACTACTACTACTACTAGCACAAACCTCAGCCAAAGAGTTGGACCCAACGATGTTGAGATGTTGTTCCCATTTTGATACAACCTGCAGAGTCTCAAAGGTTTTCTGCTGGGCTGACTTTGTATCATCAAGTAGCGTCGTCTCATAAAATTCTTGTATATCTGTGTGTATGTTTGCGTATGTGAGTGTATGTGTGAGTGTGTGTTTTTTGTGCGTGTGTTTGCGTGTATGTGCGTGTTCAAAGAATATGCATATGAAAAAAGTTTTTTTTGAAGGTATTGAATTAGTTGGCTGGCTGAGAGCACTAGATGAGCTAAAAAATTCTACAGTACTACTTATTAATAAAAGAAAATGTACACTTGTGTGTACGTGCGCGTGTGTGTGTATGAGTGTGTGTGCGTATGTGTGTTTTGTGTATTACATAATTTTGTATGTTCGAGAGTGCTAATATATATTCTAGAGTATGTTGTAAATAGGTGTGTGTGGTGTTTATGTATGTGTGTGTGCGTGTGTGTGAGCGTGTATGTGTGTGCGTGTGTATATGTGTAAAGTGTAAAAAAAATGAAAAATATAAAAGTATACATTTTACATTTAATAAACCCTCCATTATAATGAACTAATAACTTTCAATAGGTCAACTACTTACAATTCATTCTTTCATCATATATGAATTTTTTTCTTCTATCATTCCTTTCATCATTGCTTCATCCTCAAAGAGAGAGTGAAAAAGAAAGAGAGAGAGAAAGAGAGAGAGAGAGAAAGAGAGAGAGGAGAGAGAGAAGAATATTAACATTCTTTCAATTATGCATGATCAATTGTGTGGTATAATAAATAATATGGAGCATTATATTATATCATGATGTTGCCTGCTGCTGCTGCTTGCTGTCATTAGTGTCCTTTTGTGGACGTTATTAATGTTCTGTTGTTGATGTTTTGTGTTGTTAACGTTTTGTGTTGTTGATGCTGCTAGCATGCGTGTGCGTGTGTGTTTGTGCGTGCGTGTTTACGCAACGTCATGAATAAACACAACAAAATACAAACATACAGGCGAACATACAAGAGGATGTCTGCTATGTGCTAAAACTGATACTACCCTGGCATTGTATAGAAACATACCGACAAACATACAAACACATACAAACAAACAAACATACACAAAAATACAAACAACAGCAAACGCAACTGCACACATGAAAACATGCATGCATTAATTTTTGTCTAGTTCATTATTTATAAATTTGTAATGGCTGAAACAGGCTAAAAATTCTTTGAAAATTTCAGAAAAAATATTTGAAGTGAATGGAAAAATGAAAGAATATGCGTGGTCAAGAGTTCAAAATGAAGAACAACATTCTGAATAACTTAATTAAAACCATTAGCATATAAATAACGTAAGTTGAAAAAATTTTGTAATATATATTCATTTCTTCATTCATATATTCATTACTCCATCCATTCATCCATCTTCTTATTAATTTATTCATTCATCCACCTACTAATTCATCCCATCCAATGCACAAACCGAGTACTATCCATCTAAATTACTAACATTCATTCATTCATCCTTCTATTAATTCACCCATCCATCCACTAATTCCTCCCATCCAATGCACAAACCAAGTAAAGCTTGAAACAGTCTGCTCTTGAAAACCCGAATGACTCTCTCGATGGCATTCCTCAGAGGTCGGTCCTGTGGTTGCATCAGCTGGCTATGGTACTCTTCCAACAATTCTAAGGCTCTGTGGGCATCTACAAAAATGGGAAAACATTTATTTTTTATTTTTATTTAAAAAACATCAAAAAATATCTTAAATTATTAATGTTATTATTATTGTTAGTTGTATTAAGAATTGCAATAATGACCAAGTACGATTGATAAAAAATTTTTTTTCATGATTTTATTTAAGTAATTTTTGGACTAATAAACTAGATAATTCATTGAAGATTGGCAGATAGATAGATCTGTGTTTTATTTATATATCTTATAATCAATTTATTAATTTTAATGTTTGAATATAAATAAAGATAAACTAAATGCCAAATTAAATTTTAGTGACTAAAGGCAAAACCTTACTTTAATAGTTTATTTAAACATGATAACAATACATTGGTCTTAAATTTAACTTATCCATTGATGACTTTTTTAATATTTTATTAAAAAATTAAGTTTATTTTACAATTTATAGATTTAATTTTAATTTAATTTTAATATTTTTCTACCAACCTTGTTTTCTAGAAGGCATTTTTATGTCAATTTTAATCTAAATCTCCAGTTTAGTTGAGGTAGTTAAGTTTAGTTTAATTTTTGTTAACTTAGTTCAAAGTTATTTATTTATTTTTATAATTTTATATATTTATAATTAACTAATTTTTGATTTTTTCATTTGATCATGAAAATCTATATTGTAATATTGTCTAGAAGAGAGTTATATATTCCAATCATTTATTATATTTTTTGACTATTTAACTTACTTGGCTTCAAATATCATAAATTAATTTTCAATTTAATTATAATAAAATGAAATATATATTATAATTAAATAAAATTTAAAAAAAAAAGAATAGAGCAGCAGAGATCTGAGAACATAAAACTAAAATTGTAGTGTAGATGAATGGAAATTTCGAATATTTTAAAACCAGGAAAAAAACGAATTAGGCATTTTACAAATTAGAATTTTATGAAAAAAAGTAATTCCGAAAAAAATCTTTGTTAAAAACTATTTTTATTTTGAATTTAAAACCCAAAATAAAAAGTTAATTAAAATGTTAAAATCATAGACATACAGAAACATAGAGTGTAATAATGTGGTAATAATGAAAGCAGTCAAAGGCTCTATACTATAGTTTAAACTTTATTTCAAATTCTCCGGTCATACAAATTTGCTTTTTGGTCGTTTAGATGTTAAAATTTTTAATAAAATATTTAAATATGTAAAAATAAAAAATATTTTTGTCTAATTAGATGGTGAAAATAACATTTTATTCTGAATTATGTGCTTTAATATGTACTGTCTTTGATTACTGATACTGATACATACATTTAAAATTTTAAATATTTTCCACTTAGTAGTTTTTGCATCAAGTTTGTTTAAATATCTTCAAATTGATTACTTTGTTAACCAAAAACTGCATTCGAAAACCATTTTTACATGATTTCTACACTTCTACATCTGCTATAAATCTGCATTCGTCATTTCCAGTTTAGCCGAACAAACTCCGTAACTGAATGTCCCAATGTCTCCTGGCATCTATGGAATTTTATGGAAAATTTTCCAAATGCAAAAATAGATGCTATTCTCTGGAAGTCGCACTCGGATGCAGAACACAAACCCAATGCAGTTATCATTGTTTAGTTTAGAGTATACAACACACACATACATACACATACACCACACACAGACACACACAATGAACATACACATGTAAACCTTCACACACATGCAGACATACACACACATATTTATTGCTTTAAACCGGGGTTTCAACATTTTATTGCAGAGAAAATATTAGGTATAACTAACATGATAGATAAGTATTTATAATTATATTATTTAAAATAATCGTAATATACAAAATTATTTTGTTAATTAACAAGTAAAATAATAATAAATAAATAAATAAATAAACTAAATGATACTAATAAAAAGATTTAATATTAAAAAATATATATATAAATAAATATTGGTAAAAGCACGCGAGAATCTGGCAATTGAGAATATAAGATGTGACAATTTCTTGACAATTCTATCAATAAAGGTTGTCTTTTTGTGTCTGCGTGTGTCTGTGTGTGTATGTATGTATGTGTGTGTGTTTGTGTGTGTGTGTGTGTGTGTTATGTGTTGTCTCGTGATCAACCGACTTTTATATTAAATTTCATATCTTCTGCTTATTGCATTTCTCTTTCTATTTATCTCCCTGTCTTTCTGTTCTCCGCCTGTCTGTCTCTCTGTCTCTGTTTCTCGATTTCTCTCTCTCTCTCTCTCTTTCTTTCTCTCTCTTTTCTCTTTCTCTGTAAACGTTTTGCTTAAATGACGAAATAAATGATGAAAAAGGAAGAAGACGGTGATGATGAAAATGATTATTAAAATTATGATAATGATGATGTGAAGATGATGATGAAGATGACATCGGCGCCTAAGACGAAATTGAAAAAAATGACGATGGTGGCGATGATGATGATGGCGATGATGCAGTTTTCTCGACGGCACGATATGTAATCCCCACGGAATTATTCGTATAATATTTCAAGCAGATGATTAGAACCATGAGAAGAGTAGGATGGATAGATGGATAGATGGATGGATGAAATGAAGGAACAAAGATAGACTGAAGAATGGGGAAAAATGATTGATGACGATAAAAGAGTGGCAACAACTATGACGATGATGCTGATAATGATGATAGTGTTGTTTGTGTGGTAGTGATGATGATGATGACGACGACGACGAAGATGAAAATGGTGATAATGGTGGAGATGATGATGATGATAGTAATGATGATGATGATGACGATGATGATGATAGCTGGAAAAAAGAAAAAAAATGTGACAGGAAAGGTTATATAAAAATACAATAGGGCAGGCTTTAATGATGCTCAATGTAAATGAAGGAACATCTTCCTGATGATGATGGCGATGATGGTGGTGATGATAATGATGATGACGACGATGATGATGGTGAGGGTGATGATGACAACGACGACGATGTTCATGATGACAATTTTGACTGTAAAAATGACAAGATGATCAGGATATTGGTTAGGATGATGATGGTAATAAAAATTGAAGTTTTGGATATGAATGGCTGTGATGGAATATTAGCGCACGCACACACGCACACACACACTCACTCACTCGCTCACTCACGCATTCACTCACACACGCACGCACGCACACACGCATGTACACGTGCGTGAACAAAGGAATGATATCACCTAATAAAGATATATAACACTTGGGCATCTCTCAACTTAAATGACGAATGCCTTCATTTATGTGGCCATTTTTGTGCAAACATACAAACAAACAAACATACACTTTCCTACATATAAACATGCTTTCTCACACAGACATACAAACAAATATCGAATACAAAAAACAAAATCACACATCTACTAATTCACTTCCACATTCATTCATTCGTCCATTTATTCATTCATTCAATCATTAATTCATTCGTTCATTCGTTTGTTTATTTATTCATTTATTCACTCGCTCGCTCACTCGCTCACGTCATGGAAAATATGAAAATTAATTAAAGCGACAAAACAAAACCGAACGTGACAGAAACTGTCCGGTCTTTTGCTCTGAAGTGTGCATGCGTGACGTGTGTGCATGTGTGCGTGTGTTATAGAATGTGCGTGTGTGCATGTATGTGCGTGTGTTAATTATTGTGTGTGTATATGTTTGTGTGTGTTTGTTTGTTTGTTTGTATATACAATACATGTGCTAGTCAAACAATATAGAACGAATGACCAATACAAACATTTGGGCTTATGTACATTTAAACAAACATACCCACACATGCATACATACACACGCACATACAAACAAACATACACTCGGCCAGTGTAGGCAGGCAGGCACACGTACATAAATATGTATTAAGTAAGAGTGTAACGTATGTGAAGTATGAATTATGCGTTAAGCTTGAGATGTGTTCATTTAGACTCTAGTCCTCCCTTTTTAATAAGCCAGTGTGGAGATTTGTATGTACGTTTGTATGCGTGTTTGTATGTTTGTGTATGTTTGTGTATGTATGTATGTATGTATGTTTGTTTGTATATATGTGTGTGTGTTTGTGTGTGTGTGTTTGTATGTGTGTAATATGCATCAATATTATTTGATGTGTGTGCTGTGTGTGCCGGCTTATATACTCAATTAAACTCCTTTTTTCATTATTTGCAAACAACCGATGCAAAATGAACGTACATACACATACATACATACATACAGAAAGAAACACGCACACGCACACGCACGCGCACACTCACACACATATATATATATATACAAACACAGACACACAAAAAACACACACACACAAACGGATTGATAAAAGAAGAGATCGTAAATCAAACAAAACAGAAAAAAACAAAATGGCTTACATGCAAACATACAATATAATACAACGCGATAAAAAAGAACAACAAAAACAAAAACAAACAAACAAACAAAAAGAAACAAATTAACCCTTCTATCTATTCAAATAAATCAAATTTAAAGTAAACAGTCACTAAATTACGTATGGAACACATATATTTTGTTCACATCTTGTGTATATATATATAGATAGTAAATACATACATACAAACATACAAACAAATATACATACATACAGACATACATACATACTATCAATGCATAGGTGATAACTCAAGTGTTCTTGCAATGCTTGCGTTCTAAACCAATAAACCAGACTGTAAAAAGTTTTTGAAATGTTTGTTGTTGTCGTTTTTGTTGTTGCTATTGTTGATCTTGTTTGTTTGTTTGTTTGTTTGTATGTTTGTTTGTATGTTTGTTTGTATATTTGTTTGTATATTTATTTCTTTATGTTTGTCCTCACATATGATTTTATGTTTGCTATGTTCATACAGATAATAATTTTTCATTTGCAAGCGTGCCATCTTGTTTAGTTGTATATGTTCGTTCGTTAGTTTGTTCGTTTGTTCGTTCGTTCGTTTGGGTGTTCATCTGTTTGTTTACCAACCTGATAGAAACTCTTGAGTTGTTATCATCACATTGGAGCGTGT